GAAAGACCCGAGCTAACATGGGGTTAGCTCATTAAACAACAATAAAGCCTGATGCAGTCACGGAGGTCCTGGGCTGGGACCCCGGAAGCCTGAGTTTTCCGGGGGTCTAACAATACAATCTAAAAAACAAAACAAAGATACAGAAATGGTACCTTAGCCAAATTTTAGTTTGATGGTCTGCCCCTACATATCAAATTTCTCCCCCCCAAAAGGCAAAATTCATTAGATGTTACAACTTATCAACTTATGAATCAAGTAATTATTGAAAACCTACCAAATGTTCCACATGACACTGGATAATGAAAAGACTTCAGTGATTGCCAAAAGCTTGACAAATTTAGAAATTCTGATTACTACTCTACTGCAGGAAACTGCTAGATAGATTTTAAAAAGCATTAGGTTCCCCACCCCCACCCCCTTTTTTTGGATATCTTAAAACACTAAAAAGAGCTAGCTGGTTTAAGGTGCTCACTGACAAGCCTGATAACATACAGTGGAAGGAGAGAGCCAATTTTTACAAGTTGTATGCCTAACACAAGTAGGCATACACAAATACTATATACTATATATATAGTATATAGGTATTTTGCCTGCATGCATATCTATGTCCTACACATGTGTCTATTACCTAAGAGGGCCATATGAGGGCATCAAATCCCCTGAAATTAGAATTACAGATGATTATGAGCTGCTACATTGCTGCTGGGAATTGAACCCAGGTCTTTTGAAAGAGCAGCCACTACTCTTAACCACTGAGCCATCTCTCCAATCCCTAAATTTTAAACTTTTTTTTTTTAAAGAAGGAAAATACTTAAATCTGAAAAAAAAAATGACTTATTTTGGTTCATTTTTCACAAGTTTTTGTGAATGGCTAGCTGGATTCATTGCTTTGGGCTTGAGGTGAGACATAATTCATGATGGCAAGAGTATATGGCAGAGGCTGTTTACCTCTGGCAGCTAGAAAGCAGATGCAACAAGGTCAAGGCATTCAAAGTTCCCCTCTCCCTCCATAGCCTATTTCCTCCAACTGCATTCCATCCTTTCAGTACTACCACCTCCACCTCCTAGCAGCCTTTTAAAAACCTGAATCCATCAAGAGATTAAACCATTGATTAGGCTGGCTCCTTTATGATTTAAGTGTTTCTTAAATACCCTCACTAATCCACCCAGTTCACTTAACTCTTCTTTTGGGCTCTCAACACAAACCTGCCAATGGTCAAGAACACAATGCATGTTTGACCCCTGCACTAGAGACACTAATGAATTACAATGCATATATTGAGATTTCACTTTTTGTAAATCATGTTTCTTTCAGTTACCATTTTAGAGTAACCGAGGCACTTGGCAATCAGCCTCCATCTAATCTCTAAACACATAAACAGTGCAGCAGTATTTTATTGTAGACAGTAAAATACAATAAAAGACTTAAACTTTTTACTAAGGAGCTGCAGAAATGGCTCAGCAAAGAAGAGCACTGGCTGCTCTCTCAGAAGACATGGATTTCCTTTCCAGCACCCACATGCTCACAATCTGTAACTTCAGTCTCAGGGGAGCTGACATCCTCTTCTTGCCTCCAAGGACACAGCATGCATGTGGTGCACAGACATACATGTAGGCAAAACATTCAAACACATAAAATAAGAGTTCCATCGGGCGTTGGTGGCACACGCCTTTAATCCCAGCACTCGGGAGGTAGAGGCAGGTGGATCTCTGTGAGTTCGAGGCCAGCCTGGTCTCCAGAGCAAGTGCCAGGATAGGCTCCAAAGCTACACAGAGAAACCCTGTCTCGAAAAACAACAACAACAACAAAAAAATCCAGGCCAGCCAGGTCTACATAGTGACATCCCATCTCAAAATAAATAATAAACATCAATAAATATTAATGTTTTAAAAATGTTTTACCGAGAATCTTTCAGTTTATAAAATATGATATGAACTCCCTCTGCTGGTATCCAACAGCAGCAGCTCCACGACACTGAAAGAATTCTTTATGGAATAATGAAAGTCAAAGGGTTGATTTAACTAATTGATTACTCTTTAGATTTTGGATGCTTCATAGTAGATCTGGTTATGGGCCAACCAAAACCAACACTTGTTTCTACTGCAATTAAAAAGAAAAGCTACAGCAAAATTTGTTTTTAGAACAGGATAATTTAAAATATGTTTTCATTATGACTATACTGTGTGGTTTTTTAGCATTTTTTCCCTTTCCTAAATGGACTGCTCTTAGTTTTCATTTTGGCTCAGTTTTGGCAGGGGATGAGAACTAAGGATTAAATACAAACTACTTTAATCTGAACCTTTCTAACTTAATTTTGAGAGGTTAAATACAATGGTTTACTTGTGATGATGGGCCAAACATACCTAAAACTCAATCAGTTCAGACTTGATATGGAGAGAGACCCATTTCAAGTTTTATGCATAAAAATACTTAAAAAATAATTCCAGCACTCAGGAGGCATAGGCAGGTAGTCCCTCAGAGTTTGAAGCCAGCCTGGTCTACAAAGCAAGTTCCAGAACAGCTAGGGCTGTTCCACAGAGAAACCCTGTCTCAAAAACAAAACAAACAAAAAAACAGAAAAAAAAAACCCTCAAAAAATACTTAGAAGCGATAGTTAATACTTTCTAAAAACTAAATTTGATGAGCCAGATGTGTTGGCACATGCTTTTAATCCCAGCACTCAGGAAGCAAGTAGATCTCTATGTTCAAGGCCAGCCTGGTCTAACATAGTAAGTTCCAGGCCACCAAGACTACATAGCAAGACCTTATTTCCTTTCTTTTTTTTTTTTTCTTCAGTTTTTCGTGACAGGGTTTCTCTGTGTAGCTTTGGAGCCTATCCTATGCCTGGCTAGTAGGACCTTATTTCAAAAAAATAAATAAAATAAAAATTAAACTTTAAGCTGGGTGTTGGTGGCACATGCCTTCAATCCCAGCACTCGGGAGGCAGAGGCAGGCAGATCTCTGTGAGTTCGAGGCCAGCCTGGTCTCTAGAGCGAGTGTCAGGATAGGCTCCAAAGCTACACAGAGAAACCCTGTCTCAAAAAAAACAACAACAAAAAAATTCACTTTTAAGCTGAATCTGGCACATACTTGTAAAAAAAATTGAATAAAATAATTTTTTACTTCAACAAAACATTTAAGAATAAAAATTCCTTAACAGCATATATGCTTAACTTGATTTAATTTAAGAGTAACAGGTGAAATGACTGAAGCTTTTTACAACAATGAAGATAAAGGCATGGTTATTATCTGAGGACAGTTTTAAAACAATGCTTATTTCAAATAAAAGAGCAAGAAAACAGATGCCAGAGGATAAAGTATATGATGTGGGTGAGAGATGATTCAGTGGTTAAGCACTTGTTCCCAAAACCGTGAGGACCAGGGTTCAGATCCATAGAACCCACATAAATGTTGAGTGGGCATAACAGCCCATCTGTAGGTCCAGCCTCGAACGGTGGAGAGAGGAGATCCCTAGAGCAAGCTGGCTCCAAGAGAAAGCCATATCAGCAAGCTCTGGATTTGACTGAGAGACCCTGCCTCAACGAATTAGGTGAAGAGTGATGAACCATGATTCTTGATGTCAACCTCCTGTCTCCACATGCACGCTTGCCCACCCCCACATACATGCACCCATACATGCAAACATGCATATATACTGATGCACATCATACAAAAATAAATGAAAAAAAGGTTTACAATGTGAATCACTAATCTTAACAGGTTAAGATACAGAATTAGTAATATTAAAAAATGTGTAGCTGATATGGTGTTAAACTGATTTTAAACTAGGGGTTCCTACTCAATTCTTTAATTCTGGATGCAGTAACTGTTTTATTCTAAATTTTCTCTACTTCAAATACATTTATGGTATGAGGGGAAAGTTCCTATTAATAACAGAAATCCCAGCATGCATTACCTTGTCCTGAAGGATTTGCTGCCATCTTCCTATTCTGTTTCAATTATATTCAGTGGCCACTGATCAGCACTTTACAATCATCTGTAAAAAAATTTATGTGCACACATAAAATGCACTGGCCTTAAATTACAGTCTAAAAAACAGCTGGGCTGAGCTCGGTTTCTTAAGTCTCTTCAGAAAGATACCCGCAAAAAGCACTTAAATCAGAAATTTAACTCTGCAAATTCCTCATGCACTTTATTTAATGAGCACTTTTTAGTCTTGAAGCTGTTAATATCAACATTTAGCATTACTTTAATGTTCATCATTAAGATGTATTTACCAAATAATCAACCTTTTGAAAGCATCCATATGATCAGTGCTAGGAAGAAAAATAAAATTCTATAAAAATCCCTCTCTGTTCATTTAAAAACACATCCCAGCATTTGCAGTGCTGGTAAAAGAAAAAAAGAACCTAACAAGTACCTACTCTGCTTCATACACGGAATAAATGTATCCAAAAAAAAAAAAAGTTTTCAATGAGCATCTTTATATACGTGGAGGTCAACTGTCACAAAACTAGTAAGCAATCTTAATCTCGTGTGTGTGTGTGTGTGTGTGTGTGTGTGTGTGTGTGTGTGTGTGTGTGTGTGGTGTATGCCCAGTGGCGAGCATGTGTGAGCAGGCCAGGAGAAGGCACTGGATGCCTTGCTCTGTCACTCTCCACCTTGTTCCCTTCAAACAGGGTCTCTCAGTGAGCCTGGAGCTAGGCTGGCGGCCAGCAATCCTCACCGATCCTCCAGTCTCTCTGCCTTCTCTCAGCTCTGGGGTCCAGGTGCTACAGCCGCACAGGCTTCGGAGATGGATGCTGGGGATCCAACACTGCTCCTAATGCTTAGGCAGCGAGTACTCTTAGCATCTGGGCCACCTCCCCAGCCTCAAGCCCGCAGATTTCTAAGTTGAGAAATTAAGTTTTGCCTTGGGCCGAACCACCACAAGATAAGGTCAGCCCTTGTGTTTCATTCAAGTAATCACACTGGGGTTAGGGGTGGGGGCTGGGGTGGGGGGGTAACCAATTTAATTAATGCACTCTTTAAAAACGTGAGCACAATCCAGGTTACACGGCTAGACCCTGTCTCAAAAACAAGGCGCGAACAGGGTTGCGGAAGTAGAGAACTAATTGTTGAGCAAAGCACAAGGGCTCGAAGCAGATGCCGGGTGTGAATGATGCCGAGTCTCCTACGGCTAGAACACGATGTGAGCGAGGCCGGGCTAATCGTGAAGGCTAATCTCAGGGCTACCCTGAGAAGGGGGCAAGGAGTCCCAGGAGTCCATGCCCGCGGGCCGGCGGGCGAGCGAGGTGGGCGAAACCAAAAGGGAAGTGAGAACCCTTCTTCCCCTAGTCCGCACGAGGCCGCTGTCCCGTGGCCGGCGCTCGGGCCACACTTCTCCTGGCGTCACCAGTCCGTTGTACTCACCCGGCTGCGAGGAGCCCGGAGAAACCTCGTCGTCGGGTCGCCGCTGTGCAAGGGGGCGCGCCCACGCAGAGCCCAGCAAAAGCGCAATGACGCGCCGCACTACAACCTTCCCGCCGGCACCAGCTTCCGCCTCCTGACTGACGGAGCCCGAGGAAGCGGAAGTCCCGCCTATGGTCTGGACGCAACGGACGCTACTCCAGACGATTCGTCGTTTAACGGCTTCTTCGGCGGGAAAAGGTTTCCCTTCTGAAGAGTGACAGCCGAGGAGGCTCACGGGAGATGCAGGCCGTACTGCGGGGGGCGGAGCCCCACGCTGATTGGCAAGGATGGAACCGAGTCCCCTAGCACCTGGTTTGGCTTTTTAGTTCTCTAGGTTTGTAGGAGATTACAAGATTTAAACCCGGTGCTAATTCACTTCAGAGCCTCAGAAAGGGAGTTGAGCTCACTTTCAGGTTTTCACAACCATCCCAGAAATATTTTTGTTGTTTACGGTCTCAATAATTATACACAAGGAAAGCACTAAGCTGGTACTAGTGTTTACTACTCTACAAAATCTACATTCTAAAAGAGAGTGAGTGTCTTGGGGGTGTTGTGGCGCCCCGACTTTAATCCCAGCACTCTAGAAGGCAGAGACAGATGGAGCCGGCCTTATCTACACTGCGAGCTCCAGGACAGTCAGTACTACACAGAGAGACTGTCCCAAAGCAAATAAATAGAAGTCACACCAAGACATTACTGGAGAATTACCTGATGCTGCGTTGCAGCGCACTGAATCTAGATGTTTATATTAAGATGTAAACGTTCTTTAATGTGTGTCATTTGTTTTGTGGCCATTAATCACTTTCCATAAGTTAAATTTGTGCTCTTTATAATTAATGTTTGCGATGTTGGAGATGTACTTGCCCTGAATTTGATACCTAGCACCTAATACAACTGGACATGGTAGTGCATACCCCAGCGCAGGGGAATTCAGTGGACAAGGATCTTCTGTTCAAGGTCATCCTTAGCTCCATAGCAAGTTTGGGGCCAGTCTTAACTATATAAAAACTTATTTCTAAAATAATAATTGATGTTTGCTAATGTTTATGATGCACAATTTTGTTGTACAGAGTCCATGACTGAAACAGTAAGTTCAATACCAAGGATTTATTTAGTTCTCAGCAAGAAATTGTTGAGTGTTTTCACATGCTAGGTGCTGGCTATCCTCATCTTATATCTGTGTGTGATACGGATATGGGTCTCAGATGTTACTACAAGGTATCCAACAAAGAACTGAGCTAAAACCCAAAAGCTGCCAGGTGCTAAGGCTCAGATTCTTAACTTTGGCATACTGTCTGTGCTCCAGAGAAAGGAATTCCTCTGGGACCAGCTCTTGGTGATTGTTTTCCCCTTTGAGACAGCGTTTTGGTATGTACAGTCTGGCCTTAAACGCAAATGTATCCCAGGCTGCAGATTGGAATCCTCCTGTCTCAACTTCTTGAGTGCTGGCATTTACAGGCCTGTGCCACCACACCCAACTTTATTGACTGCTTTAATTAATATATAAAGCATGTTGTAGGATAAAGTTTTAGTCTTCTATAATCTTCTAGGTAAATAGTCTTATTCAAGTTTAAAACCCTTAGCAAATTCAGTTAAAAGGCCATTGTGTTTTCAGCTCACTGAAGAGATAAATGAGATCTTCATTTAGGGGAACTTTTCTTTTTGGTCCTGTTTGCCTGGCTAGTTAATACAGGAACTAGGGCACAGGAAGATCTTTAATACCCAAATAGAAGGAAAAAAAAAAAGGTTTAAGTAGATGAAAACATTTACTGCCCTGGTCATGACAGGTGAATGCATACATCTTATTATTTATTACACCATACTGCCTACATATGTACAATTAAAATAATGGACATTCTGAAAGAACTTTGTGTAAGGAGTGGGAGAAAGTTCTTCCAGAATATTTGTGATTTCCTGACAAGCTCAGTATCTCAGGGTTTCAGAGAGCAAGATCAGCAGAAAGATAAATTTAACTCATTGTTTTGCCTTTTATTTTGTGAGAGTAATCCTTGAAGCTGTCTTCTCCTGGTGAGTCTTTGGAACTTCTATAGGTCCTATCTAGAAACAAGGGGAGGGAAGTATTGTGAAAATTTTGTACAACCAAAAGGAGCTGTCTGCAAGATTGTTCTCAGGATCTCCCTTAACCTACTAAATAAGAGTGATATGTATGACTAATAGTATATTGTGCAAATGTGAGTGTGTTACATTGTGGTTTCCACTTTCGGTCACTTGCTCTGAGGGAAGCTAGCCAGACACCATGCCAGGAGGTCACCAGAGCAGTCCTTGTGAAAAAGCCCATATAACAGGAAATGAGGCAATCCTTTCACCCACAACCAGCACCGAGCTGCCAATTCTTAGGTAGGTAATGCTCCTTTAGCCATAGTTAGGCCTTAAGCTAACTGTAGCCTCATTCACAACCCTGAGCCTGAGCCACAGAACCACCTAGGACACTATTTGCAAGTTTTCTTTCTTTTTTCTTTTTTTCTTATTATGTTGCTCAGCTATTCTCAAACTTGTGGACTCAAGTTCTTCTACTGCCTTAGCCTCCAGTAGCTGGGCCTAGCATGTACAGACTATTGATTACAACTTTCAAAAAGAATATATGTATGTATGTATGTATGTGCCTGGTGCCTGTGGAGGCCAGAAAAGAGTATTGGATTCCATGGAGCTGGACATACAGGTGGTTGTGGATATTGTGAATGGAATCTGGGAACTCTGAAAGAGCAGCAAGTGCCTTAAACTAACCACTTAATCATTACTATGGCTCCCATTATCTTAATTGTATCTTTCTGTTAAAAAATTTCTAATCCACAAAAACTATATAAAATAATAAATATCTGTCAGTTTAGGCTACTAAATTTTGTGATAACTTATTATACACTAATGTGGGAGGGGGAGTGGTAGTTTTAATGTAATTGGATCCCATAATCTCATAGGATGTGGCACTATTAGGAACTATGGCTTTGTTGGAGTGGATATGGTCTTATTGGAGGAAGTGTATCATTGTGAGGGCAGGCTTTGAGGTCTCCTATGCTCAGGATACCACCCAGAGTCTCAGTTGACTTCCTGTTGCTTTCAAGATGAAGGACTCTCAGCTACCCCTCCAGCATCACGTCTGCCTGCATGCCACCGTGCTCCCCACCATGATGATAATGGAGTGAACCTCTGAAACTGTAAGCAACCAGCTCAATTAAATGTTCCCTTTATACAAGTTGCCAACGTCACTTGGCGTTGGTGCACACCTTTAATCCCAGCACTTGGAGGCAGAGGCAGGAGGATCTCTGTGAGTTAAAGGCTAGCCTGGTCTACAGAGCGAGTGCCAGGACAGGCTCCAAAGCAATACAGAGAAACCCTGTGAGGTTGAGGGGAAGAGTTGCTGTGGTCATGGTGTCTCTTCACAGCTATAGAAACCCTGACTAAAACAGGGGATCTCTGCAAATGATACAACCATTAGGGCAAGAAGGAAATATGGTTCAACATGACTCAGTAAATGATGTTGGTTCAAACTTCTGGAGTCAAACACCAGGCAATTTGTTTAAGCATATTTAAGTACAGTAAATTTTGGGGAAAAAAGTTTCCTGGTAACAGTTATCTCACTTTCGTGTACACAATAAAACTTAAGGCATGGTGACATTGGAATTCTTTTGCAAAGTACATGTGATCTCTTTCATAAGGCTGTGTTCTATAGTTTACAGGGCTTGGGAGGCACTCTGGTGTGGTCTCGGTTGTACAGTTTAGCACAGAGGTCACCAAGCTATAAATTACATGTGACATCTCCCATAAAGATGGGCTCTATTACTGACAAACAATGCTCAAGATAAAGCTCTAGGGAGGAAGAGTCTGGGGTAAACAATTGTCTGGGGATTCAGGTGAGGTCTGGCCCTGTAGATCGTGCAGGTAATCAGGCTATTAACAACATCCACTCCCATCCTTCTGGGTAGAAAAGACTCTCTTCCATTGAAGATACAACCCTGTGTGTTTAACTTTCCTGGGGTCCTGGTGCTTGTCTGTGAGCACAAGGACCTCATGTCCTCTACACACCAGTATATAGTTAATATTCCAAATCAGCAAGGTGATCCTCCCCCCTCAGTACAGGTGCCAGCTACAACATGTCTCTGACTGTTAGCCTTGGAGGAGGATTATATGATTAAGGGAATGGCCTGATTTCTTTAAAATTAATTATCTTCGTGATATTCTCTAGGATGATAGCAAGGTTTGCTAAGGGAGAGATGTCGTCCATTAACCTGTCAGTAGATGGCAGCAAAGAGAAGGGGATTGGGGTAGTACAACCCGCTGCACCTTTTTGAAGAACTGGCACTTTATACTGGACATTGGAAGATGGCTAGTTTGAAACTGACTGTAAAGGTATTGGATGTTGGACACCTAAGGATTACATCTGTAAGCAGGTACTTATATTCAAACTGTATTTCTCTCTTCCTCCATCCCTACGCCTTGATGTGTGAGACTTGGAGAACATCTCCCATTGTACATGAAAATAAGAAAAACATATCCTTGAAGGAGAGGTGGGTTAATTCAAACTATGCGTGGTTTGATGGTTTAGTGAAATGGAAGGAAAACTTCTAGAAACCATAGGGGAAATCGTTGTCGTTTGATGAGCCCTTACTGTGTCCTAGAACCTTCACATACATTTTCTCAAGACCATCCTTTTAGAAGGATATAGCTGACATCTTACTATTTTAAAGGTGAAACTACATTGAGACTTTGAGAAATAAAGTAACTTGTCTAAGATGCTACAATTGTTTTCTTGTTGTTGTTGTTTGTGATAGTGAACTGATCCAGTAGATGACCCCTGTGTGTATAAGCACCATCAAGAATGCTAGTAGTATAAAACTTGTGCTATTAGCCACCATGTATTCACCATTCCTCAATGCGTAGTAATTTGTAACTAGACTGAAGCCTTTCTTATTATTGAATATGTTGAATCCGGGTGTTTTCTGTGTGCTGGTTAGGGGGCTCACTAAATTTCACAAGGCCTCCTGTAACATGGCTGCATGGTTGCCAATGCAATGTTATTTTCTAACACCTACTTCTAATCTGAGTACCTCTAGAGAATCAAATTTCCAACATGTTCTAGTA